CCCCAGGCCCCGTGCAGACGGGGGTGTGGAGAGCTGAAGTGTGGGCGGCCAGGCCCGGGACCCCCGAGAACCACCACACCTGCGCAGGTGCCTGTTGCTACCATGGGAGCCGCACCTGCGTGGGACGGGAGGCCTGCGACCCCTGGTTGGGAGCCCCCGGGGAGCAGAAGGACGTGGGAGGGGACGCCAGGTGGCATCTGAGCTGCCCTATGACCCCACTCTTACTTCAGAGAAGACATGGGGGGTCGGTACCCCCAAGCGCACAGCCTGGGCCCCCCACCTGACTCCAGCCGAGGTGGCCAGGACCAGAGGAGAGAGGACCAGAGAGGTGGGGGCAGCGCGTGTGCTGGCCCCCCCCAGCGCTGATTTGGGATTTCTGTGTGGGTCTGATTTACATTAGACTTTCAAGCATAATTAGAAATGCAGGGAGCTTTGTGTCTCACCTCCCCTCGACTATTTATGGCATGATATGCAGATGAGGGAGCTATGAATATTAACGAGGGAGTTGCTGCCCGTGCTGTCTTTAACGGGTCGGGTGACCGACAGGCCCCTGCGTGCCAGGCCCCCCAGAGCCCGCCTCTGCCCGCCAGTTCCTGGGGTCTTCCCGCTTCAGAGCCGCGGGGATGGTCAGGTGTGGGCTGCTCTGGGACCTGCCTGCCCCTCCGGACACGGGGCCCGGGGAGCTGCCCTACCTGTGAGCCGTGTGCTGGGAGACCCTGCCGTGTGCTCCTGCAGTTACCAGGCTGTGCCCAGGGACACGCGTGTAGCTCAGTCTATCTAAGTCGCACATACGGGTGAGGGAGACTGCTGGCTCCTTTCAAAACAACGCCCAATTCCTTGGGAACCTTCCAGAATCGATGGTAGCTCGTGGGAGCATTGCATGATGGTTCCAGGCACAGAGGGGGGTCGGTGGGCTCTGGGGGCCACTTCTCACCCAGCCCCCGCCCCCGCCCTCCCCCACCCTCCGCTGCTCCTCTTCTGAGTGGTCCGCTCGGCTGGCTTCCCTGTGTTCTGTGCGGCCCCCGGCCCTTGACCCCTGAGAAGGTCAAAATATTTCGAGAGTGAAGATCAGAGACGCACGTTGGTGGCAGGTGCACCCCTGGCCTTGGTGGCCCTGCCGTGGCCCTGGGCAGGGCCATGCTTGTACCTGAGGATTGACAAGCAGGACTTTGAATTTGCAGACTGTGGCAGCTGCCCTTCCCCACTGGAAAAACAAAGCTCCCAGGCAAGCACTAAAGTCAGTGCGGTTAAAGCTGCTTCGGTGAGCTTGTGGTCCGGGGTGGGGGGACCCGGGGGCCTGGCTGAACGGAGGGGCTCACCTGCGCCGTGCCCACTGCAGCGACGCTCCCCCCCGGCTGGGCAACTCCCTTGACCCTGAAGCCGGGGGCCTGTGTGCCCCAATTCTTGGCGGAACAGCCCGTGCAAAGGCCGATGGAATTCTCATCCCTGCGTGGAGTTCCGGGAGTCTCGGTGACCCGGGGTCTGTCGGGCCGGGGCCAGTCCTTGCCTTCTGGCTTTTCGTACTGGATGAGGGAAGACTACCTGGAAAGGTGATGACCAGGTGCCTGGACACAGCTGCCTCCCAGCTCCGAGACCTTGGCAAGAGGCTCACTGTGCCTGTGCCTCGGTTTCCTGGTCTGGGGGGCTGGGGAGCAGGCACATAGAGCGTGCGGTGGTGAGTGGTGGGGATGCAGGGAGACGGCTCCTGGCAGCTGAGACCCTGCCCCGGAGCTCCTGCGTCTTCCTGCTGGTGGCTCCAGCCGGCCCTGTGCTCGGCGTCCTAGGAGTCTGATGCAAAGCTGGGGTCAGACGGGCGCCCTGCCCGGCTCCCTGGGCCTGGGCACACCCGAGCTGGGCAGCCTCCACCCTGGAAGGGTCAACCTCCCAGGCCCCCGTAGAGCAGGGCTGTGCCCCCTTAGGGATGGGGTGGAAGCAGACTGAGGCCACAGTGGGCCAGTCCCCAGCGTCTTCCCGGTCCCTGAGCCTCTCACGTGTGCCCCGTCCTCTGTCCTGGGGCCAAAGCCTGGGATCCACCTGTAGCAGGTGCCCTGGGCTATTTTGGACCTGGGGAGGGGCGGGCTGCACTGGCCTGGCCCCGTGGGAGGGGCTTCCGTGGGGACAGGCCTCCCTACGGGGCGGGGCGGGGCGGGGGCAGGGGGAGCTGCTTCTTTCCCTGCAGAATGTCCCCACGCCCCCCCTCCTTGCCCTCTCCCCCGTGTTTAATGGCTGTGCGTTTCCCGAGGTCCAGAACCTCTTATTAGATTGGTAAAATTAAATCCTGCAAAATAATTTTATTTAATTTAATCTCTCTCGCCGCCTTTGGCTGGTGGCGATCTGCAGAAAGTCAGCCCCACTCCGTGCGGCTGTGCTCCCGCCCGGGAGTCGCCCAGGGACGTGGGGTTCCCCGGGACTCTGGGCAGGACCCCCCAGGCTGTGGGGCTGTGGCTGGGGTGGGGGCCCGGAAAGGGGGGCCCCTGCTCGAGGGACAGCCGCCCGTCCCCGTCCTCTGGCCCGGCGGACGCCCTCGGCGTGGTCTCGCACCCGCTGGAGCCGGCGTGGCTGCCCCAGCCTGGGTACCGCGTGTCACTCCAGTCCCACCTGGGGACCACACTCAGGTGGGGGCAGCCCTTCCGCCCGCCACCACCCGCCCTGCATGCCCGTCCAGAGGGCTCCTCCCTCCACCCACCTGCCCCTCCTCCTCTGCGTGTCTCCCTGTGGGGTGGGGGCGCCCCGAGGCTGGCACAGCTGCAGGGACTGGACTTGGGGTCGGGGTGGTCTGCAGAGGTTTCCAGAAGTGGGTTCCACTGGAGGGCCGTCACCAGGGGCTGTTCTGAGTGTGGCGGCTGGGGCAACCGAGAGCTCGGATTTCTTGGCCCCCTGGAACCCTCCTTGAACAGATGGGCGTGGTACTCTCACGGTGCAGGGGAACCGGGACACAAGGGGTGGGGAAACTGAGTCACAGAGAGGCGATGTGGTCACAGAGCAGGGCTAGCCCCCCGTGCTGGGAGGGGAGGAGGCCCTGGAGTCCCAGGGCCAGGCTAGGTCCCTCCCGCTCCGCAGCAGACAGCCCTGCCCGCAGCCGGGGCCCACTGAGGCCGGGCCCTCCTCCGGCTGCAGACGAAGGGTCAGCCGTGGCCGCGTCCGCTTTCACGGCCCTGGGAGCGTCGCCAAGCCTCCAGTGTGCTCTTCCATCTAAAGTTCAGCTTTGTTCTCGAGGCTTCGAAGAAAGCAACCTGAAACCAGCCCCTGCCCAGCTTTCGGCGGCTGGGCGTGGGGTGGCAGCTCACGGCACAGGTGGCTTAAGGACAGGGTAGCAAAGGCGCCAGTTGTCCTCGGTCCCCGGGGACCACGGCGGCCCCAGCACCCTCCAGGGGAATAATGGCCCCTTCTCTGGGGCAGCTGGTCTGGCCCAGCCCTGGGGGGCCGGCTCGGGGCGCAGAGGTGAGCCGGGCCGGCCTGGCACTGATGGAGACGCCCCTCCCCCCGGCGCCCTCCTGCCCGGTCACGGCAGGAGTGGACGTCACCGGTGTCCATGCACCAGGCTTGGGCTGCAGTCTTCACGGACATACCCTTGTCCTACCCCTGTGGCCATCTGAGCGTGAACCGTGACCCAAGTCGCGGATCGGCCTGTGAGGCTGCAGCGTCCTGAGGAAGTGGCCGGTGGCCTGCAGGACCTGGGGCCTGTGCACCGGGCACCTGGCCTCTGCCCACCCCTGGCCAGGCCGAGCCACTCCTGCCGTGGCCCGAGAGCCCCTGCCTGGCTCAGGCGACCCCACCTCCCTTGGGGTGAGGCGGACGGCCATGCCTTGTGTCGCCGCCCACGACAGCCCCTGCCGAGTGGCCCTGGCTGGCTGCGCCCAGCATTCAGTTAGTCGCCCACCAGGCACCGGATAGACCCGGCCCTGCCCCCGCTGAGCTCACAAGGGGCTCCTGGCAGACTTCTTGGAGGAGGCAGCAACTAAGCAGAGAGCACAAGGTGGAGGGTTTCGCCGGGGGTTAACAGCTGAGCAAGGGCCATTTCTGTCATCAAAACACCAGGCGCAAAGCCGTCTCTGGGGGTCCCTGTGCTGGTGGCTTCCCTGTACCAGGGTTTCCTCCTGCTCCTGTCCGGTGGCTGTTGGTCTGTCTGGTGTTCAGATGGGGAGGCCCAGGTGCGTGTATAGGCGCCAGGTCGGTGGGAGGGGACACTGGGGTGAACAGCAGGGAGCTGTCACCTCCCCTCCTCCCAGGCCTGCGGTGGGGGTGACAACTGCTTAAATGGGGGTGGGGTGGGGAGGAGCAAGCCTGACCTTTCCACCCTGGACCCTGCTCCCCTTCTTTGGGGTGGATATGCTCTTCCTGGGTCACTGTTGGTGGCAGGTGGGGAAACTGAGGCTGGGAAGTCCAGTGGTTTGCCCCGGGGCCCACACAGTTCAGCAGCGGGGGGTGAGCCTGTCCTCCCGAGCAGGCCTGGGGCTGGCCGCCAGCCTGTGTGCCTGCCCCTCCCAGAAAGAGGCTCAATAAAGGTCAGACACTGAGCACCCCTTGGGCGGGCAGCATGGCCAGGTTCCGGCTGAGCGGGTGGGCTGCAGGACTGGCACGGCCGAGGGTATGCCCGAGCAGTGGGCGCCTTCACTGCCACCTCTGCCCGGACCGTCAGGGCCCGGCTGGTCCTTCCAGCTCCTGGTGGCCGGGCCACAAAGTTGCTGTTTTCTGAAAGTGCCAGGAGGGGCCTGGGGCGTGGGGTGGGGACGGGTTCTGGGCTGCACCAGCAGGGCCAGCTGCTCTGGGACCCCAGCAGGGCAGGGGACAAGGCCAGTCCCCCAGGAGGGGTGGTGGCAGCTCGGAGTGGGGTGCTGCCCCTCTTCCTGCCTCCTTCCCCTGGCTGTGCCCCCACCCCGCCCTCCCCCAGCCCCCCATGAGTGCGTCCCAGGCCCTGGGTCCCCCTCGCCCTCCCACGGCCCTCTCCACCAGCCCTGCCTGCCCTGGAGGAGTTAAGCTCTCTGCCAGCCCTGCAGACTGTTTGGAATAGTTTAAATGCTTTGACACTGGGCTGTCCTGGAAGGCCAGGAGGCAGTTTACTGGGTAATTCATATGCAAAACTGCACCATAAATTTCCAGGCTGTCTCAGTTGCCGTGGCACCACGAAGCATTTCTCCGCGTACAGTACAGTATTTCTGCCATCTTTGTTTGCATTGCAGTGAGTCATCAAAAGTCTGTCTTGTACCAACACCCGGAGCCGCGCATTCCTCTGGCACCGGCGCTCCACTGTTTTTAAAGCCGGGGCTGGGAGCTGGCATTTACTTGGGCTCCGAAATCAAAGGCGGCTATTCATTCCCGGGAGCTGCCTGAATGTGCGTCTGCATCCGGCCGCTTCATTGAGATGCGGTGCACTGCCCGGGAGAGCCGGCCTGGGTGCAGCTGAGCTGCGGCGGCCCGCGCCCCGCGCTCTGCCCTCCTCCTCCTCCTCCTCCTCCTCCCCCCCTCCCGCTCCCCCTCCCCGGCTCCTCGCGCCCTCCCCACCCTAGGGCTCCCGCTCCGTTTGCTGCATTCCCGGAGCAGCTGGGCAGGCGGGCTGGCGTGCGGGGAGCCTGCCCTGCCGGGCCGAGCGGGCAGTGCCGGGCCGCTGGCCGCAGCGGCCAAAGGTAGGTCTCCCCGCCGGCTGGCGCCCGTGGCCCGGCAACTTCTCGGAGGCAGGGCCACTGCGGGCCACTCTGCGTGGCGCCCACCTGCCCAACTCCTGGTGCAGGGAGGCTCCGCCCTCCTCCCCGAGCCCAGTGGCTCTGCGGCCGGCTGCCGCACTTTCCTCCCGCCGGACACAGCGGCCCTTTGTGCGGCCCTGCGGAGTTGGCCGGCGCCTCCTCTGGCGCCCCCGCCCCCCTTCGCAGAGACGGGCGCAGATAAACAGCCGCGGCCGCCCTGCCTCCCCTGCCCGGGTGCCGAGGCTCGGGCCGGGACCCCTCGAGTCACCTGGGCTGGGACCGAGCCAGCGGGGATCAGCGGGAGCCGGGAGCCGGCAGGAGGGAGGGCACCCAACTCGGGCGGCTCCAGGACCCGGGTTGGGGTCCCAGCTTGGGGGACCCAGGAGGACGGAGCGGAGCAGAGCGGGGCGCGCCCAGGGAGGTCTCCCCCCACACGGAGGACGCAGGAGCCTCTCGGAGTTCTCCCTGCTTCTGCTCACTTGCGTGCACCCCCTTCCCCACCTGCGGGGGGCCGGGGCGGAGGGTGGGGGCTGGCAGGACGCTTGTCCTGGTTCCCCCAAGGGCCGGCTGCCCCGGGAGGAAGGGAAACACGCCAGAAAGTGAACGCCTCCGAGAGCCCCCCACCCCGCCCGTCCCTCCCGAGGGCAGTGCAGGGGGCTACGCGGGGGGCCGGGAACTTTTTCCTGGCAGAGGAGTTGCTGCTGACCCTGTCCGCATGTGCCCCCGCTCGGCTGGGCTCGCGCCCCATCCTGTCCTGTCCTGCGGCGGCTTCGGGCCTCTGTCCTTGCCTTGTGCCGTGATGGGGTGTCGGAAGCCCCCTCCTAGGGGCCTAGCAGGGTAGTGCAGTCCGGCCTGAGCCGCCAAGCCCTTCCAGCGCCTGGTCCCTCCGCGGGGTCCCCGGGGACCCGTCTGGACTGTCCCTGCGGGGAGGGGCTGGGGGCAGGCGTGCGTGGGGAGGGCTCGCTCCTTCCCGCCCCTCTGGGGGGGCCGGGAACTGACCGCCCTGTCTCCCCACCCCCGCAGATGTGCCCCGCTCGGGCCGCCCCGCGCTGAGAGTCTGAGGCCCGCTGCCAGCGCCCGCCCGCCATGTCTCAGACGCTGCACATCGAGATCCCCAACTTCGGGAGCACCGTGCTGGGCTGCCTCAACGAGCAGCGCCTGCTGGGCCTCTACTGCGATGTGTCCATCGTGGTCAAGGGCCAGGCCTTCAAGGCCCACCGCGCCGTCCTGGCCGCCAGCAGCCTCTACTTCCGAGACCTGTTCAGCGGCAACAGCAAGAGCGCCTTCGAGCTGCCGGGCTCGGTGCCGCCTGCCTGCTTCCAGCAGATCCTGTCCTTCTGCTACACGGGCCGGCTCACCATGACGGCCAGCGAGCAGCTGGTGGTCATGTACACGGCCGGCTTCCTGCAGATCCAGCACATCATCGAGCGCGGCACCGACCTCATGTTCAAGGTGAGCTCGCCCCACTGCGACTCGCAGACCGCCGTGATCGAGGACGCCAGCTCCGAGCCCCAGAGCCCCTGCAACCAGCTGCAGCCCGCCGCCGCCGCCGCCTACGCCCCGTCCCCCTCCGTGCCCATCCCGCTGCTGGCCCGCGTGAAGCACGAAGCCGTGGAGCTGCCGCCGGCCGCCGCCGGCCCAGGCCTGGCCTCCAAGCGCCCGCTGGACACGGGGCCCCGGGACAGCGTGGCGGGGGCCGCGGTGGTGGCGGGTGCGGCGCCCCTCAAACTGCCCCGCGTCTCCTACTACGGGGTGCCCGGCCTGGCCACCCTGGTCCCCGGCATCCAGCAGGTGCCCTACCCCCAGGGGGAGCGGGCCAGCCCGGGGGCCAGCAGCCTGCCCACCACCGACAGCCCCACCTCCTACCACAACGAGGAGGACGAGGAGGACGACGAGGCCTACGACACCATGGTGGAGGAGCAGTACGGCCAGGTGTACATCAAGGCCTCGGGCGGCTACGCAGGTAACGCGGCCGGGCCAGGAGCTAGCTGGGGCGCGGGCTGGGCCCCCACCCGGCCAGGCTCCATTAAGCAAGGAGTCCAGACTTGAGCTCTGGGACGGGAGGCCACGGGAGACGCGTAAGACCCGCGGTGCAGGTGCGGGTGCAGGTGCGGGTGCAGGTGTGGGTGCAGGTGCAGGTTTAGGTGCAGGTGCGGGTGCAGATGTGGGTGCGGATGCGGGTGCAGGTGCAGATGTGGGTGCGGGTGCAGGTGCAGGGAAGGCCCAGCTTCCTCTGGACAGATGAAGAAACTGAGGGTTGCTTGGGTCCAGGGACCTGCCTGAGGGCTCAGGGCCTCAGTTTCTCTGTCCGTCAAGTGCCTGGTGCTGTGTGCACCGTGGAGGTCCTGCCTCCTTTCCCTCTGACCTCAGCTGCTTCCTCACTTGCGAGGTCCCACCTTGGCTCTGACCTTCCCCCTCTGTGCTGCCCCCCCCCGCCAAGCCCCACGCAGGGGGTGGGGGTGGGGAGCTCCAGTTCATTCGTCAAAGGGAGGGCTGCTCCCCCTTTGGGGACCTGCAACCTCAGGGAGCCCCGGCTTAAGACGCCGGCACCACAGACGGGGCCGCGGTCCCCGAGCGCGTGCGGGGCTTCCCGGGCAGAGCGTCCTGCTGTTGGGGCCCAGGACTGGGCGTCCCTGCACCCCGCTGTGTGCCTGGGCCGATTTGCATGCGGGACCCAGCACAGTGGCCTGGACTGGGCTCAGTGCCAGCAGTGGGTGGGCGCCCCGGGGCAGCGTGAGGCCTCTTTCCTCCCCTGTGAACCCCACTTCCTTGTGCCCTGGTGGGACACTCCCCCATCCCACCTCCCCTCATTGGTCGGTGCCGTGGGGGCGGAGGGAGCTGGTCCCCCCTCGGCAGCCTGGACAGAGGCCTCTGCTCGGCCAGCCCGGGAGGGACCACTGCCCCCCGCCAAACACCCAGCTCCTGGTGGGTCCCTCGACCCCTTACTCAGGTTAAGGGCATGTTGCTGCATTTTCGGGAACCCTGCAGACCGCCGGCCCGCAGACTGTAGGGCTTCCAGGCTTTGGTTTTCTCTGTGGTCGGCAGCAGGGCTTGGCAGCCCCGAACCGGCCCTTCCAGAGGGGGGAGAACACGTGGCTCTGGCTCGACCACGGAGCCAGTGCAGGACACTAAAGTCACGTCCCCAACGTGGGCCGGGGGGATCTACCCAGTGTGCACTCTCCTGTCCCTGCCGACAGCCACCCGGGACCCCCTGCCCCAGCAGCCACAAGGCTTCTAGTCCCCGCAGCCCCCCTGGCGGGCTGGGCACCCCCTATAGTCCCTGAGGACCCCCCCAGTGGCAGTGGCCAGACAGGGCCCTACGGGTGGGTCAGTGCCCAGCACCATGGAGCCGGGAACAGATTCTAGTCCCTGAACGTCTCCCCAGGGTCCTCCCTGCATAAGCGCTGCCGGTCTGGCGTGACCTTGGCCCGGCACGCTTGGGACAGCGAGGAAAAGGGCAGGGTGGCAGGACTGCTGGAGCACAGCGGGGTCTGCTAGCTCATCTCAGGCACCGGCCCCTGGTGCTGGGTCAGCAGGGAGCCCCCGCCTCACTCCTGCTCCGGGACAGCCCACTGCCTCACGGGGGTCTCGGGGGCCAGCGGGACAGTGGGTGAAAAGGCTGCAGGGTCCCGGGTCTTGCAGGTGTCGCCAGGAGGCCTTCGTGCCAGCTCCCCACACCCAGATGGGGTGCAGGGTGGGGACCCCCAGGGCTGTGTTCCCGCAGGGGCTTGTCCGTGTCTTGGTGACACAGGTCCCCGCCTTTGCAGGTGTGTCAACGGTGGGACAGCAGGGAGGAAAGAATCGGGCTGGTGGGGCTGCCCTGCTTCCCCCCCCCCGCCCCCCTGCCTGCCGCACGGTCCGGCTCTGGGCGCTGCAGTCTGGGTTTTCTCGTCGTGGTTTTGTCTTCGGCAAACCCATAAGTGGGGCAGGGAAAGGGGGTGTGAGATTTCTTGGTTGAAATCTAGGTTATTGGCAGTGACGTGGCCGGCGTCACCGGGTGTGCTGGACAGCGGTGCCTCGGGGTGAGCGGGGATGCGGGGCCTGTCCCCTGCGCAGAACTGCCCCCCGGGGTGCTGCTGGGGTGCCACCCCTCCCCTGCTGCGGGTCCCTTCGTGCCCTGGGGCTGGTCTCTCTGGGGCCCGTCCTCACACCCACCCAGGGGCAGCCACCAGGGCCAGCGCAGGAGCCGAGCAGGTGGCTGTCTTTGACCCGGTGGATTCCAGCATGTTCCGAGGTGCCCCCATGACGAGCCCCGTCTCCTCTCTGGCCTCAGTTTCCCCACCTGCTAGGTGAGAGTTTGGCCCGAGTGATCTTCCGGAGTCTTGCATCCAGTGCAGGGACAGGTGAGCCCCGTCCTGCCCCGTCCCGTTAGGAGCCCGTGAGCAGCGTGTCCTGCGTGGTCACCTCTTGTTGTTGGAATTAAGACGTCGCAGGTCGGGCTAGTTGCCCCTGGAGCGCAGCAGCCCCTGCCGTGTGCTGTGCCGCCGCGGCCCGTCTGTTTACATCTCTGGGCCTCCCCGGCGTCAGGTGTTTCTGCCCGTGGTTTTCCTACCCTGCTGGAGGACGTGCCGGTGGTCGCTGTTGGAGGGATGGTGCTGGGCAGGGCCTGTGTGGGGGGCGTGTGCTGGCGTGTGCTCAGCCCTCACCCAGGGAGGCTCGTCCCCCGTGCGGCCTGGGGTGCTCTCTGCCGTCCGACTGAGTCGCTGTCCACACCTGCAGGGGGCTCGGGGCCCGCCTGCAGGGCCCGAGCTGTGGCTTACGTGGGCGACTTGCTCCCAGCCCTGTGACAGCGCTGACGGGCCACCCGGGGCAAAGGAGGGTGGGACGCAGAGCACGCCCCTGTCCCCAGGAGTGGGGGTGCCGGCGCAGCTCCTCTGAGGCCGATGGCGAGGTCTCCCGGGGCACAGCACAGGTGTGTCGGGGCCCCGAGCTGGGGACTGAGACCTCTGCCTCGGGCCCAGCCCGACGTGGGGAGAGAGCAGGGCGCCGGCCCCCGCAGAGGCAGCCCCAGTCCTGGGCCTGGTCCAGCTGAGAACACGGCCTGAGCAGCACCCCCCAACCCCCACCACCCCGGCGTCCCCCGAGTCCTCCCTTCCCCCCGAGCCTGCTGGGCTTCCCCCGGGGGGCGCAGGGCCAGGGACGGGAGATGTCTGCGTGTCCCCCACCCCGGAGCTGGGGCTGCCCCGGTCAAGGCCGCCGGCCTGCTGGGGGTCGGCACGGGGACTGGACGACGCCTTTCGGGCCGGCGGGGCGGAGGGCTCCCGGGGTGTCCCGGGCCACTTCTGTGGTCTCCACGTGTCCACGGGTCCCGTTAGCACACCCGGACCCGCAGGTCCAGGCAGTGGTGGCCGAGACGGGTGTGGCCGCTACCCTCCCCACTGGCGGGGACGTACGAATGGCCCAGGCCCCGGGACGCCCCAGCGTGTGGCGCTGTCCTCAGCCCAGCTGCCCTGCCCCACCCCCGGCAGAGACTTCGGGCAGCCAGATGTTTAATTGTCGCTGGCAGATGTTTTCTCCGTGGCTGTCAGAGACGACACCGTGGCGTTCACACCAGCCTCGCCCTCCCCTGCCGCCCTGTCCCGGGGGGGACCTGCCTGGCCTTGGGGTCCCTGTGCCTCTCGCCCCTCTTCCCTCTGGGGCCGCCTGGCTCCCGGGGTCTGCCCGCCTGCCCTCCTCGCTGCTCCGGCGGCCGGGGAATCGCGCCGAGCGGGGGCTGCCTGAACTCAGGGAAAACGTGGAGAAAGTTGGGGCCGCTCAGGGACCCCGGGAGTCCCCTGTGCGGCTCAGCCCAGCCGTCCACACCCCTGCACGCTGAGCAGGTGCGCCTGGGCGGGGCTCCTGTGTGTCCGGCGGGGGGCGGAGGGGGCACGGCAGAGGCCGAGAGGTCAGCGCTGGCCGAGTCCCACCCCCCCAGGTGAGCACCCGGGCTCCGGCCCTGGACCACAGGACCAGAGTGGAGACAGGGCTCCCGGCTGGGGTGGTCTTGCTTGCAGCTGCCCACCCCTCCTAGCTCAGCACCATCTAGAAGGTTCTGCCCCGTTAGGGAGCAGGGGTGCCTGTGTGGGGGGGGTCACTCTGTTTTCATCGCTCCTGGGTGAGTGACGAGGAGCAGCCGTTGCTGGGACAGACTGTGCACGCGCCGGTGACGTCCAGGGCCCGAGGGAGGCCACCTTCCCCGGCAGGTGCTCTGCAGCCCCGGATGGCAGCGTCCTCATCCTCCCGTCCTCGGCTCCTGGCGGGGGCAGCGCCAGCCGCAGCCCGTGGCGGTCCCGGCTGCGTGTCTGTCCCCGATGGTCACCGAGGCCGAGCGTGTCTCAGGCTCTCAGCAGCTCACCTTGCAACCTCACTGTGGGCGTCTCTTCCGATCTTTTGCCCCTTTACACAAAGTGGGTTTAGGGGTTCCTCCCGGCATCTGCAGACCGGCCCCTCGCCAAACGCCTGTCGTGCAGACATCCTCTGCTGGCCCGGCTACCTTTTTATTACCTTGATGGTGTCTCTCAAAGACCAGAGGTTTTAAATTTTGATGAAGACCAATTTATTAATATTTCATTTTATAGCTAGTGCTTCCTGTGGCCTGCTCAAGAAATCTTTGCTCACCTGAACTCAGAGGTTTCTTTTGTTAACGTGTGTGTGTGTGTGTGTTCTTGCAGAAGTTTTGTCGTGTTTTTTTGCTTTTTTTTTTTTTTTCTTTGCTCGCACGTTCTGGTCGATGGTTCACTTTGGATGCATTTCCGTGTGAGCAGTCGGGCAAGGGGCGAGGTTCGATCCCTTCCGCGGGGACGTGAGGCTGTCCCAGCGCCGTGTCCCCACCGGGTGACCTTCGCAAGGCCCAGGTGGCCGTGTGTGCAGGTCCGCTCCTGCGTCCTGTCCCATCCATGTGTGGTCTGGGCTGCGGAAGCTCTCGGGAGCTCTCGGAGCTGCTTTGCTCTTACGCAAAGCCGGGTCCCCTTCGAGCCCTGCTCG